TGTAGTCGTAATCCAAGTGACCCTTCATTTCAATAGTGGCATGTACGATTTACAGACGTAACATTTAAAGCTTTATCAAAGTAATCAGATCAGTAATCAGAATAAAGAGTATCGATGTGAATCATTAACTTGAAATTAATTCTACTAAAATTATTATTATTTTGTACTTTCCTTCAGTTTTTATTAGAATATTATTGAAGAGAGTTATAAGAGACCCAGCTGCAGATATACCTGGTAATAATAACGGTAATGATAATGATAATAACAACAAAATATTTTCAAATTATGTAAATTCCTTCCTAGTCCAGAACCGTAGAGGATTTTAACCACCAGATCTAGAGTGTTTGTTGGTAAACAATCTGCGCAGTACACACAAACAATACAGATATAGAGTGTTTATCGGTACACAATCCGTGCAGTACACACAAACAATAAATATCTATAGAGTGTTTGTTGGTAAACAATATGTACAGTACACACCAACAATACAGAGTCCGATTTTAACGAATTTGAGCCGCGTCTCTAATCCACCAAAAACCGGTTTTAATCTTAAAACATTGAATACAATTTTACGTGTAACAACCATATTTGAGCTGCGTCTCAAATTTAAGCCATGACTCAAATTCTTTAAATTCGACCTCAGATCTAGGGGGTCTGGGGGGTTACAGTACAATAAAACAAGGTTCACTTAGTACCTCTATTGAGATCAGAATGGGAATGCCGTAATTATGGCGGTTTTGTCCATTCAAGCTGTTAAAAATACCTAAACGAGGTTATTTATGGCCGTAATGAATTCTGGATTGATGAACCATTATATAATAATTGATATTTTTTTTACAAAAACAAATCAAAGCTAGATTATTTGTAGTTTGCACCCAAAAATAAAATATCGTATGGTATGTTTAGTATTTTTGTTAGCTCTTACTCAGCAATTAGAAAATTAGACATATTTATTCTCACAGAGAACACAGTGTTACCCACAAAGGATAAGATTTCAAAGACGACACTACAAAATTAATAATCAAGCTCTTCAATTGTACACTTTCTTTGCCCATCTATATATAAATTTGGCTTGTCTGTTTGTTTGTTTGTATCCAATAAACGTCAAAACGTTAATATTGATAATAACATGATATGATGATAATTAATGAAAGCATGTCAACATATTAATGGCGACGCATTATGTGGACGAACTTTTACTGACGCATGTATAGAGGAGCGCAAAAGTAGTTCATTAATACCTGAGAGTACACTGTGCACAGAAAAGGGAATGAATCTCACACTGCTCCCCTGTAAAACTACTGGGAAAATTCCAAGGTTTAAAACTGATCTACAGTTTATAGGAATCATATTTTTGGAAAGATACAGTTACCCACGAAGGATAAGACTGTAAACGTAGTAAATGCCGTCCACCTAAAACTGCTTTTAGGACTGTATCAATCCAGGTGCAACTCATCAGCTATCAATGTCAACAGGGACACCAGCTCAGCTATCAATGTCAACACGGAAACAAGCTGTTAAGCGATCAATGCCAAACCAATAGACACGATCTTATCAGCTATCAATGTAAACACAAAAACAAGCTCAGCTATCAATGTCAACACGGACACAAGCTGTTAAGTGATTAATGTCCAACCAATGGACAACATTTTATCAGCTATCAATGTCAACACGGACACAAGCTCTTAAGCGATCAATGCCAACCCACTGGACATAATCTTATCAATGTCAACACAGACAAAAGCTCAGCCATCAATGTCAACACGAAAACAAGCTGTTATGCGATCAATGCCAAAATCAATGGACAAAATCTTATCAGCTATCAATGTCAATACGGACACAAGCTTATCTTTCAATGTCAACACGGACACAGGCTCAGTTATCAATGTCAAAACGGACAGAAGCTCTTAAGCGATCAATGCCAAACCAATGCAAAAAAAAATTCCGTACAAATTATAGTTTGGGGCGATTTATATAATATATATACAATTACCTATTGTAAGGTGTCCATGTAAATATTTAAGTTACCTAATATATGCGCAAAAATCTTTAATATAATGAACATTACAAAAAGGGGGTAAAATTAATTCAAATTTCTTCGCTTATTTCTTTAAAAATGAATGAAATATGATTCTTCCTTGTCAATCTTTTCATATTCCATCTTTTCCACCTCATTTTGCCTTTAAAAAAATAATTTCTTGCGCGGCATTTCTAATTTTTGACTGTCTTCCACCCTTCTATATGCGCGCATAAAAAAATGCTGGCAAAAATTGTTCAGAACTATGATGTTAAAAAGTTAAGAAGATTTAACCTTCTAATGTAAGCTTTTTAAAAGTTTTTTAGAAAAAAAGAGGAGGGGGGTGGAACTCCCCCAGCTGTGATACGGAATTAATGTTCTTACAGGCCGACAAGGACCGCTTATGAAAAATTGCATGACTGATTCACAACGGTACCTTTAAAACTATTAAATGAGCAACACACGTAAATCTAACTTTATCGAAATGCATCCTGTCATATTTTGATCTCCCATTCAAAATCTGTCAAAAGGAACGTAAAATATTTTGTATACTTAAAGATTAAAACTAAATAGCTTAACAATAAAGTAAAAAAATACAAAATACAAAAAAATCTACATTTAATGGATGAAAATGGGTTACTAGGCATTGAAACAGGACCTATAGTTTACCGTAAAAAATGAAGAAGATTTCGTTATCTTCTATATTGAATGTTAAAAGGAATTGAGTCTTTGCCACAAACTCTGATATTCTAATTCTTTTATCTTCTACGTCCTAATGTTGTAATTATTTCAAACTTCAAATTATGTTAGATCAAATAATCGAAGTTTGAAATTTCAATGGTTTAAACCAACAGATATAATTGGATTAGAACATTTGAGTTTGTGGCAAAGACTCAATTCCTTTGCTAATTTCATCGCAACTCTTTGTTATTTTGTCAACTGTTGAACATTTTTGAAAATAATAGAATATTAACAATTATAAAAATAGTAATATTGGTAAAGTTTATGTGAAACCCATACAACGATACCAAAACCATTTTTATAAAACTATTGTGTAATTTCTTACTCACTTCATCGTGAATTTCATAATAAACGTGCTATAAAGTAATCATTGTGCTATAAAGTTAAATTAGCTGTGAAAAGTTTTGTTTGATTCCCGGATTTTCTCCAAAAATTTTTGGATATTTCCAAAAATTTTTTTTTTCAATTGAAATGAAAATAGAATTAATATCAACTTCATATTTTGACTTATGCTTTGTTACAAAGCTTATTTGATCTATAGAAATAGCCATTGAAATAGGACAAGTACACAAAGTTTCCAAAAATTACCTATCACTGCACTATTATTTTGGCACGAGGTGCTAAAAGTTTTTGGAATTAAATTTTCTCTATATCTCGACGGTTTTCGCCTTTTTTGATTATATTTTGACCCTCGCTAAAGCTCGGGACAAAATACATCTAAAAAAGGTTTGAATCTTCTCGATAAATTGAAAAGTTCTGTCCAAAAACTGTATAACACTGCGACCAAAATAACAGTGTTATAATTATAGTTAAAACAACGTGTATTTGATCTCATCAGTTGCTTCAAATCATTGTATTAAGTTACATGGGTCGTATTTTACTGTATTTTACTGTATGCTACTGTACTTTGCTGTATTTTACTGTATTTTACTGTATTGTACTGTATTTTACTGTATTTTACTGTATTTTACTGCATTTTACTCTATTGTACTGTATTTTACTGTATTTTACTGTATTTTATTGTATTTTACTGTATTTTACCGTTTTTACTGTAATATTCTGTATTTTACTGTTTTTTACTGTATTTTACTGTATTGTACTGTATTTTACTGCATTTTACTGTATTTTACTGTATTTTACAATATTTTACTGTTTTTTTAGTGTATTTTACTGTAATTTATTGTACCGTTGTCTTGTTTCATGCTTATTGGACAATAAAAATCATAATTATTTTATAGTTGTTAAATAGTCTTTTTTTCTATTCCACAATGTTATGGGTCTCGCTGATAACAACATTAATAATAATGATACTATAATGGTTGTTAAAAAGCTGTGTGTCTGCAAATACTGATTAAACTAGAATGGGCCTGGTTTGCCCAGCAATGGAGACTTTAACAAGTACTATACACTTTATCACAGGGTGTCCTAGAATTAACTGTTCAATTTATTAACATATATCATAATAGTTTATAGAGCCCAAAAAATGTCAGAACCCTCTTTCAGCTGAGTAAAACCATATATTGATATAACTGGTTCACCATGGTTTCAAAATGTAGAAGTTAACAATTCATCATTGGTAGAAATCATTAATCGTTTATTATGTTGTTGTATTTACACAAACATAAAATTACCATTATACTATTGAAATAGATGTCATAATATGACATTGTTTTTCAAGAGAGAGAAATGTTTTTAAAGCTTGTCAATTGAATAAAATAACATATCTGGTTAAAAATAAGCATACGTTGACGGCTCGTGGAATTAAAAAATAAAACGGTAAATTTTAAACAAGATCTAAGAGTCACGCAATATATCATTTTAATATTTTCTCCCATTTCCAAAATATAAAAAAATGTTATTCTTTATTATATATGCTTTATTTGAGCACAACGAAATATCAAATTATTTCACAAAAATTATAAGAAAGTAATATAAAAAATTAAATACTTTTAAGGACCATTTCGAACAGGGAGCATGAATGTAGGAAAATTTTACAAAATCTCAATTCTGCCAATGTCTTTAATGAACAAGAATTTATAAACTGTGATTGAATAAGTATAATATCATTTATGCATCAACGATTCAGGCCAATTATTGACATTTTGGCCCAGCTTATATTTGTTTTATAATCGTTGATGTAGATAAACATAATTTATTTTTGCGATATTTTACATTTGGAAAGCTTAGGAGACTGTTTATACAATATAAACAATACCATAATTATTAAAATAAAAAATTAATATCGTCTCTAAATATCTTTGTTTATTGTGACAAACTGTAATAATTTAAACAATATCGTAGTTTTCTAAATACATAATATCCAGGAAAAGAGCAGAGACCCAACCATAGCCATTGGATAGCCTTAAAAAAGTATGTTAGACGTAATTGGAAATTAAAATGTAATTGAACCGGGACCAAATTTTATGAATTGGAGAGGTTGCTGAACTACCTACAGTCTGTTCAAATCTTGAATAACTGATTCAAATACACATAAATCTTTAAACTTTGAATCGTTGAATTAATTTTTACCGGCAGTATACTGAGTACCAGTATAGGTTTAGTTCAGCGACGTAGCTCAAATTTATTAAATTTGGTCCCAGGTTTGTTCTTAAAATTTAAGTTAATTAATTACTTATAATTTCTTACTTATCAGAACCAATTTCTAATTGATTCTGAGACCATATCCCTGTAATTTTGAACTTTCCTTTATACCTGACACAAAACCAGCACTGTTTTTACCATCCGCAATAATAACACCTCCACCCTCACCATCTCCTCCACTTCCACCTCTAAATATATATATAAGGTGACTTTTTGTTTTGTACTGCGGTGGTAGTTTTATTGTGGATATCGAGATCATGTTGATCTCGATCTTTTGTTAAACTACAGATTAATTTAATCTTTATTATATATCTCGTAAGAGCTGCAGAAATTATAACATTGAGAATATAGAGATCAGTACCTTATATTGATCTTTTGTTAAGAACGGTTAACAACCCTAAAATGTTAAAATACTGTTTATCTATTATAGGGTGTTTAACTGAACGATTTAAAAATGACTGAATTTCATTTTGATGTCAATCTTTGGTAAATAATCATTGAGAGTTAAAAAGTTTATTTAAATATATCTGCAGCAACTGCTGTGTGTAAGGGATGTTAAGATCAGCAATTTAGTTTTCAACTTTGACAATTCTGAAACAAGAATTTTTAACGAAAATGAAAAAATTCTTAATATCTTATCAAAAACGTTAGTAAAATAAGTTTAAAATTTCGAGAAAAAGGGTTGTGGAAAATTTTTGCAAAAACAAAAATACGATTTTGACCAAAAGATCGAAAATTTTCGCGGAATTCGCAAATTTTTCGCGAAAGAGATTGAACGAAAAATTGGAAACCTTAATCCCGCATGCGCTGAGAACTTGTATTTTGTGGGTATCAAGATCAATACTTGATCTTGATATTGTGTTACTCTTTAGAATAATCTGTTCTTTATGCGATATTTCGTCTTTCATGGCAATCGCTAAAATAACTATAAACATATTAGTAGAAAGCAGTTGAGGTGTCAATCTGAACCATCATACATTATTATTTTGTATTTTGTGTTTGAAAATAAATACTATAACTATATGGAAAGGTATAGTTTTTATAGATTTTCAAATTAAAAGTTCACACAGTTTTGTAATGATCGCAACTACAATGGGGGTGTTTTGCTTTCAATTGGGAGACTAGACAGTTTGCTTTTTTATAAAACAATAGCTACACGACATAAGAGCTTTCAATAAAATGTTATTTTGTTCATGAAACGCAAAAATAGGCCGTGCAACCTAATTTTGATAACTTAGTTTTTTAGGATTCAAAACGATCTTTATAACGATCTTATGAATCGTCTCTCATTGTCACACTCACCCTTTTATTGCCGTACACTCTGAATTTTTACAGTTATACATCTGCCATAATGATTGGAATCTCAAACAAAATGCTTCTGTATGTTTGATAATATAAACAAAGAAATAAATAGCTTGTACATATTCATTACATGATACAGAATACAATGCAATTACAATATGTTTCATAGTATACAGCAATGTTGTATAATAAGGTTAGTTACTCCCGATGTGCTCCAATGTAGGGAAAATGTTTAAAAGTATTCTTCCTATTCCGGAGTTGTTATTACTTACTCTGGGTTAACTGTATTACATAGATCTGTTGTACATCTTTTTGTCCACTTTTCATAAATTCCCTCTACTAGATCATGCTCAACTCCTCTACAGCTCGAGTCATTCTCATTGTTCATATTGCAACAATTCCCTTAAACAACTAAATATGATAATCCTATTCCGATTGGGCTTTTTTGTCTATGATTCTGCCCTTAAAATTGAGATTGGGGAGTGTAATGCCCCTAGTTAAACTTTTCATAAATATAGTTTTTGCTTTATCAATTCTCTCAATTTTCTTTATTTTCTATGATGCAATTATCCACTAATCATTTTTCAGAGAACCACTAAGAAAAACAATGATAACTCAATCGTTTTTGCTCTTCAGCTGGAATGTCACTTGAAATTACATTTAGTTCCTCAATACAACTAATGTTTTGACCGATGTATAAAGATTTATGAAATATATTTTAATGTATTGTCTTTTAGAAGTTTATTTAAATACTTACTATTCCATCTTGCCATACCACCAGTTGTTTTTTCATCTATGTACTGTACATAACAATGTGTCATCACAGCGCTGCACTACAATGATAACATGTTTGTAATATCTAATCTTTCAAAATAATTTCTAAATTAAACACATTTTGTTTGACAATTTTAACAGAATGTTTCCAATACCAACAATTTTGAGATATCCCTAAAATTGCTTTCATAAATTCGTTAAAAAATAAAAAATGTTCGTGATTTTGAAAAACTTGGAGTATTTTGATATTAATATCTAGAAAAGTTTCACAAGTCATAATTTTGACTAATCACAATGAATAATTTCTTTGGAATTTATATCAAGAGATAGGTTAACTAGATGAATGGATACCATGATAAGGAATTGAATCTTTGCCACAACTCTGATTTTCTTATCCCTTAATGTGTGCAACCCAATGGCATAGACCCTTGATAACTCAAACTGTGAATTATGTTTGATCAATTAAAATATCAATGGTTTACACCATCTGGTTGCAAAGTTATAGGTATTAGAAAATTGGAGTATAAACTAATTTTCCTGCGTTTCCAATTTCAACCTTTTTCCATTCAGTGGATAAATCAGCTTTTAGAATTTAGGAATATTTTGTTTTGAAAGTAAAAATATTACGAGTAAAACTACCTGTGTGACGGTGTTGGTCCAAATTAGTTAATTTTTTTCAAAACTATTTTTTAAAATTTTGTTCCATTTGAATTATCCGTAAATATCTTACGTTTGTTATCACGTATTTGTCTGTAGGAGCTGTCAGGGAGAATTCTCCTTCACAATACGGATTGTTTCCTCCATCTGAAGTACAGCCTAAACATTTTAAAAAACTTAAAAATAACTGTTGTTATTAATTGGCGTAATTTGTTAAAAAGTTAGTTTAATCTCAAAAAGTGAGTATTAACCTGAATGTCTAAGGTTAAATTATTTGGGCCGAAATAATTTTTTAATACCGTCCGGTCTTAAATATTGGAATCAGTGCGCGTTTGAAGACGTTTCTTTAGTAATTTAATTCCAGTGATATTTTTTTATAAGACGTTTTTCAGCGGTTACTTAGTCCCCCCCCCCACCCGCCCCTTCCCTCCCCTTTTTTGCAGAAATTTTGTCCCCCATTTTTCATGATTCTAAAATATTGGCATAATACCTATGCATAGAATAGCATTTGACTGGTTTGCCAAGAAAATAATAACAATTGAAATATTTAGTAAATAATTCATTTCTTGCCGAGAACTAGAATTCAACTGATGATTAAATATACGTTGATTATATTTACTTTAAGTCGTTTATGAAGTTAAAGTTGTAAATACTAAAGATAAGAGTTAATAGTTTAGTCAAATCAAATAAAATTTCAATTCCTTTATTAAACATCCTGGTATCATGGATTCAACTTTATTAAACATCCTGGTATCATGGATTCAACTTTATTTTCATGTTTGTATTGAAAGGTTTGTAAAACAATAAAAACAAAATTACTTGGTGGTAATTATACCTTTGATATTTTAGACTTTTTAAAATCATAACTTGAAATATCAAACATCAGATTGCAAAGATTAAGGAATAAGAAAATTAAAGTTCAATTCCTTTTTAAATGATCATCTTTAACGTTTCCATCTTTAATCTTTTGTGTTTATTTAACTTTATTTTCATTTTGTTCATTTTCATCTATTTTCATTTTGTACTTGTTAAGTGACCTTTACAAAAAGATGTAGGAATTTGAGAACTAAGGTTTGAGGCGAGTAATCAGTTCATTTACAACCTTCCTTGAAAACATTTCAAAACATAAGGTATTTCAGTTAAATATGAAATATGTATCTTTGAGGATTGTAATTTCAATGTCTGATTCAATCAATCAATCAATAACATGAGGATAACATTGATTTTCTAGATTTAAAAGTAAATTATTCCAAAGGTTTTCTTCATGATTGTCTTTCAGTAGAAATGAGCAAGTCCCTTTTGTGCAAGGGAGGATTTTAAAAAAGTTCAAAAAGTACGTCGAAAAATGTTGACAAATATTAACATGTGATACATTTATTTTTAAGGGATTTTCAAAAATATAAATTTTAGCCTTGTAGCTTGATTAATAAAAAAGTTATCAAACATTTATGATTTTTTTAAACACCGAACTGCCGTTTAACTGCACCTCCGCCCTCCCTATGCATAACACGATAACACATGTGAAGGTCCGTATTTTTACCATCAAAAAGTTGAAGCTAAAGAAAATTATGAACACTTCATAAAAAGTTTTCCAGACAGTTGGTGTCTTGGACTAGAGCTTTGTTGTTTTGCTACAGTAACATGTCTCAAAACTATTCAGGAAAAATTGCAAAACTTGGGGCCCGGCTGACATTTACGGTCTAAAGTTTATCTAAAAAACCAAAAAATTCTTTCACACTCCCCCCATTCTACTTCTAGGACTAGATTAGGGTTTGAGCAAACAAAAATTCTCGCGAAAAAATGTTAACATTTTTGTTCGCATTTCGCAAACTTTTTCGCGAAAATAAATGAAGCGAAAAAATGCAAAAACGATGAAATAATTCGCGAAAATGCAAAATGCGAACATTTCGTGTAAATTTTTTTCGCGAAATGTTCACATTTTCTAAATTCGTATATTTTTTCGCGAAATAGTTTGAAGCGAAATTTAGCGAAAACAACGAAAATTTTCCTTTATTCTGAAAACCCTTTACTAGATTAGATCCTTCAAAAATGACGTTTTTTATGGGATTGTCGGTCATTGACATTTCAAGTAATATTTTTTACTTTCGATTCACAACGATACCCTTTAAACCATTAATTATCTGATCAATAATGTGGAAGTTAACATAGTTTTCTTCTGGTTCAAAAGCGTTAATTTCTGACAATTTCCTCCATTGCTCCTGTAGTAGAAATGCGCAATCAAAAAAAATCAGAGAAAGGTTGAGAGATATCTCATACTTTTCATAATTAGACAAATCTTTTAAAGACACCAAATTGTGAATCAGACACATAGAGAATAGAATATATATTAGAGGGGAATTTAAAGAATCTCTCGGTATGGATTTTTTCAGTCCCTTTTAGCCTGAAAGGGAGTTCAAAGTGTACACATCATGTAAATGTTCACAAATTATATGCAGTAGAGTACACTAATACAGTATGTTCAATTTCGAATTTTTTAAACTGTTAAATAAAGTTTATAATGAATAAGGTGAATAAAAAACATCATTTGATTTATAGTTATAACGGAAAACCATCGTTTGTAAAGTGGAAGGCATAGAGTCTATGTGAAATTATCATTGGTCAATTATGAAACCAGCCTATTTCATAATTTGGTTTTCCTTTAACAATCATTTTTAGATTTTCTATAAAATAATATTCCAGGGCCAAAAAGGTTATATAGCATAAATATGTGAAGTACACCTGCAGTATGGAAACAGTACAACAAAATGGCCGTTTTACACTTTTTTCTAGTAAATTCCACTCTAATATATATTCTATTCTCTATGATCAGACATTCCACTATAAATGGAAAGACCATTAAAATTACAACTCCCTCGCCACTTTAACTAAAATTTAACATTGATTCTATTTTAGATTACATGATCAACCTTAATACAGACCATCGACTAGGATCGAAAACTAAAATCCCAGAAAATCCCCCCGGAAATAAAAAAAATTTTAATCCACGAAAATCCCCCAGAAATATAAACTCTAAGCTCAAAGCTCCATCGACAGTTGTGTACAAGACACGGTCCCAGCCGGCACAGTGGAACTTTAAGCGGATACGAATATATAGATAGATAGATAGATATATAGATAGATAGATCTTGTAGTGACGTTAGGAAATCAATAATAATTAATGACTAAATGTCAGAAAATCTACATTACATCCATTTCAGCTTTCTTTAAGAATTCTGTATTTTGCAATGTCTAAACAGACATATACATGTAAATAAAAAAGGGGGAGGGGCCTTAAAAAAACATTTTCCAAAAGTATATATTTTGTTTTTGTATTTTCATATTAACAGGGTTTTCATTTAAAAATCATAAAAATACAACTGGTAAATAGTTACATTATAGAAAAGAAATATTGGATTTAGAATAATAATGATGGAGGATAAAGAAACTGAATTAAACTTTGGCAATGTTTATTTTGTTTAATGTTTGGTTAACCCACTCCTATATGGACCTGAATAGAATAACAAATATACTCTTTTGTTTATTTTCTAAGATGACAAAGATTCTAGATTCTTTGTCTGTGTCCGGGTTAGGGGGGGGGGAGGATGAATAGCTATATTACTTTCCTCAGGAAATATCTCATTGATTTACTGTTTTTCTGAACGTTCTTCGTACTGCTACCCCCTCTATTAGACTAGTTTTTAGGTAACATATATATGTAAACTAAGAATGGGGAAGAAAGACGACAAAATATATAATACATTGAAGAAAGAAAGAGGTTTTGATGTTTCTGAAATGTACAACTTCAAGCTCAATTCTTTCCATTTTTTCATTTCACGTCCCCCCCCCTCAGTCATACTTTCTCCCCCGCCCCCTTCCACTTTCTTTCAATGTTCTTCTTCTATATATGGAAAAACACTAATGTATCGATGATTCATATACAGAGTGCCTTGCAAAACATGCAATAAATGTTACAGGGTTTCAAAATTTTTCATGTAACATATTCTAATTTAAACAACTCTATAAATATGATAATTAAGCTTAAACTGCCCGAAAAATCCTTAGTGACATTTAAAAGATCTACGTAAAATTGAGAATGATTAAAAAAAAATCAATTGCCAAATTGAAATTTCATATTTTGAAAAATTTCAAATTAAAACCCATATTTTTGTAACGTACGTTTCATTTCTAAGGTTGATAACTTAGATGATAAAATACATTTTTTCAAAACTAATTTTCTAATATTAACGATTGTTTCCCTCCCGGGGCCCCACCTTCTTTACCCTAAGGCGGGGAAGCACGGTAAGCGCCCCACCCCCGGACTCCCCCCCCTCTGAGCGCGACCCCCCTAATTATGCTGAGAAGGATGATAATGCAGTATACACTACTGCATGGTTGGTTGCGCTCGTTTTCAAGCACGTCTTAGCTTTCCGTCTATTTATCTAGAATATTAGGGGGTTCCCTTGGCAACTGGACCCAGATTGATAAATAGGAAGTGCATATAATCTTCAAAAGCGTGTTTTTAGGCAAATTTTTAAATTTGTTTAATGATAAAGTATCTGAAAAGCAGATAAAATAATAAAAAAGGTCGAATAACGGGTAGATATGAGGTTGAAAAGTCTTCTCAGTAATTCAGTATTAATTGAAACTGATTACTCTCCACGAACTTTGATTTTCTATTGTTCTCTTTTTGTTCATCTCAATAACAGAAATTCAAATATTTTTGTTCATCTCAATAACAGAAATTCGAACATTTTTGTTCTTCTCAATAACAGAAATTCAAAACATTTTTGTTCATCTTAATTACAGAAATTCAAAACATTTTGTTCATCTCAATAACAGAAATTCAAAACATTTTTGTTCATCTTAAATACAGAAATTCAAAACATTTTGTTCATCTCAATAACAAAAATTCAAATCATTTTTGTTCATCTTAATTACAGAAATTCAAAACATTTTGTTCATCTCAATAACAGAAATTCAAAACATTTTTGTTCATCTTAATTACAGAAATTCAAAAAATTTTGTTCATCTCAATAACAAAAATTCAAAACATTTTTTTTCTTCTCAATAAAGAAATTTGAAAAACGGGTTTAAATCTAAATCCTGGATAAAAATATAAACATGCGGCTAAAATAACACATTTTGTCTTGTTATAAGTGACGCATGATCTGTAGTATCTCTGAACTTATTTACGCTTTAAATAATCCCTTATTCTTGAAACTGCACTTTGTTGCACTTATAAACATGTTTATACGATAAACTATAAATATTTATAAACTTTGATAAACAAAACAGAACTTTACTTTCCATTGAACCTAAAGAAAACAAAACTTGGCACTGGATTGTATTATCTAGTTCACATGGATCCGGACTGCCATGAAAACTGGGCACTGGATTGTATTCACATGGATCCAGACTGCTATGAAAACTGGGCACTGGATTGTATTATCTAATTCACATGGATCCGGACTACCATGAAAACTGGGCACTGGATTGTATTATCTAGTTCACATGGATCCAGACTACCGTGAAAACTGGGCACTGAATTGTATTATCTAATTCACTTGGATCCAGACTACCGTGAAAACTGGGCACTGGATTGTATTATCTAATTCACTTGGATCCAGACTGCTATGAAAACTGGGCACTGGATTGTATTATCTCATTCACATGGATCCGGACTACCATGAAAACTGGGCACTGGATTGTATTATCTAATTCACATGGATCCGGACTACCGTGAAAACTGGGCACTGGATTGTATTATCTAATTCACTTGGATCCAGACTACCGTGAAAACTGGCCACTGGATTGTATTATCTAATTCACTTGGATCCAGACTGCTATGAAAACTGGGCACTGGATTGTATTATCTAATTCACTTGGATCCAGACTGCGATGAAAACCGGGCACTTGATTGTATTATCTCATTCACATGGATCCGGACTACGATGAAAACTGGGCACTTGATTGTATTATCTCATTCAAATGGATCCAGAATGCTAAGAAAAGTTGCATCACTTTAGATCGACTTTCACATGGATCCAGACTGCTACGAAATGTTTACTGTAAAGTGTCACAATGACTTGACCTTTTAACTCACTAACTCGCACATTTCTTGGTAACTCTAGAAATATACATATTAAAACTATAAAGCACTTGTTTCTTGCTTTAGTTTTATGGAGATATTGGCAAAATGCTGATAAATTTTTTGCGTGAGAGCTTCCAACCTTTGGTTTACTGATTTTAATGGTTGCATGAGCAAGTAAGTTTGCCAGCTATGGGTAGTTTTTTTTTCTAAAAAAGAATTCATAAACAGATTTTAGCACAATATAATATAGATACTAATATCTCAAATTTGTTTAAAAAGTATTATCAATTATCTACATGAATTTGATTAAGCCGGCTTTGAGCTTGAACACTTTTACAAGTGGTAAAATATATTTCTTGACAACACTTAAACAGGTTATAAAAATAAGTTTGTATTTTGATCATCTAAAATCTCAAATTTGGTATACAAATTTAATGTTCATTTTTTTTTGACATCCAGTATGGTTTTTGTTCAGTTGTATATTTGAATATTCATTATGCAATAATAGTGTTATTTATATATGCAGAAATGAAGGGGGAGATATACTCCTAAGAATTTGTATACTAATTATGCATGGTATATTCTGCTATAAATGAGGGAGAGGTGGGGGGGGGAGAAATACTCCTAAGAACTTGTATACTAATTATACATGGTATATTCTGCTAGAGGGAGAGGGGGGAGTAGTGATGCTAAAAACTTCTACTCAATTTGACTACCGCATATGCAATATTCAACATTTATGCCAAAAACTTAAATTGTCTAATCCCTATATTTTTGTGACCAGATGATGTAAACCTGTAATATTTTAAACTTAAATTATATATTTGAGCTAACAGAATCTACGGTCCACGACATTGGATTGCAAAGATGGGGGTTTACAAGATCAGAGTTTGTGGCAAGTACTCAGGAAGGTTTTTGGCCGTTCAAAGTTGACAAAATTTCAATTAAAAAATCGGTTAAATCGGGAGAGGGGGGGGGGGTACTCCGCAAGAAGCTACAGAACAAAAGTAAGAAGAATAAAAAGTTGTATTTTATCCCAACTGAAGAGATGTAAGAAGGATAGAGCTTGATGCCAAAACTATGGCGTCAGATGTATATATAAGCAAAGGAATGCGGGAAACTTGAATAAATTTGAGACGAGGGTATATCTGCATGGGGGGGGGGGTTTAGGGGTGAAAAGGGAATACAAAAGAGATGACAAATGTGTACGAGAAAAAGTAAGATTCAAAAGAATCCACCCCCAAAAAAATTAACTTTACCTTAAACAGACATCATTAATCAAAATCGAAATATTTTTCGTGCCTTAGATATCTCTTATGTTCGTAAAAAATTATAAACATAAATTCTATAAATTGAAACTAGACGTTCAATAACTCACAGTTCTTTCATATGTCGTGCTGTCACTTAGAGATAAGATTTTATAAAAAAGTCCATAAATTTATAAACCTGGAGAAAGTGTACTTGCCTTTTCTAAAATACCCTGATAATATTGCTGATAAAATCAAAAATATATTTAGAAAAATGTCAGATTAAAATTGATAACATTTCTAGAAAAATGTAAATTTTCCTAGTCTCTGATTTTCTGCTTAGCAATGTTTGGGATTCAAATAAAGGTAATGTAAATCAAAGAGATTAAAAATTCAAAGGATTTTCTTTAAGATTTTTTTTTATATCTATTCGATGTGTTTGTAACGATTAGTTGGGTATAACTATAAACAAAGCAACAAATATCTTATATAAACGTGATTTTGTCAGTTTGTTGAGTTTTTGGACATTTTGCTACAGATGTCTTTTATACGCTGCAGGTCTGATTTTCCAGGTTTGCAACATCATTTTATTTTAAATTCTTTGTAGGGAAACATAATGTCCGTTGGTAAATAATAATACCAAGTATGTATTAAAAATAATTATTCTTTTACTCTCTTCCATTTTATTTTCAATTATTTTTATTTGATCAGTATCAGCAAAAATTAAAGAAAGAGTTTCAGTCAGTTAAAATACAAATTATTTGTTAATCTAAACCTCTGCTGGATAAATGACACAGACAAATGTTTGTTTATCAACATGTTGAATAACATATTTAACTAATGAACAGGTGCATTCTTGTTCATACACGTGACGGTCTTAGGCTTTTATTTCGGTTTGATCAAAAAAAGATTACAAATTTTTTATATCTTTTTGTCCTTGCATTACCTTACGATCAACATTCTTTTTTCTTTAAGATTTGTCTTCTCTTGACCTGGTTGAACTCTGCTGACCTTCAAGCTACCGGCTGTGACCCTGGTCAAGTAAGAGACCTTGACGGTACATGCGTCAAGAAAGTTACGTTTCCACCACGTGGTGAGCGGAAGCGCTGTCCAGAGCCACGTGTTCTGAACGGAAACCATTTCTTCGGAGCGGATGGTCGAAGTGTAAACTTCTTCTGTGAAACTGATCATATTCTAGTTCCAGAAAATAGGGTAAATCAAATTATTTTCTAAAATTTCCGTAATTTCCTGCACAGGGTTACGCAAAAATATGAGACATTACAGATCAATCATATATTTTACGCATCATTTTTCGAAAAGGAGTTCTAGGACCCCTAAAAATATTTTCCATATAAATCTGTGTGTTTTACAAAATTTTAAATTTGTATATTCTAAACATTGCCATATATAACCAAAAAAGGATTGGTTTTTATTTCGAGTTTTAATCATATTTTCTCCGAGGGTTGAAGTTACAAAAAAATTGAATTTTGAAATGTTGGAATCTTTACAGATTTGTGTGCTGCCATTTAACAGTCAATAACCCAAAAAGTTAATCATTTAATTAGCCATCATCAGCTGAGGAGTTAATCATTTATTAGCCATCATCAGCTGAGGAGTTAATCATTTTATTAGCCATCATCAGCTGAGGAGTTAAGTCCAAAAGATTTTGTTTTGCATAAGAGGCGACTTTAAAATCTTCTTTTATTTTCAAAGGAGTTTTAACCACAAGCTCAAATTTTCTAATCACTATATCTTTGCAACCTGATGGTGTTAACCTTTCATATTTAAACTAACAAATTTATAATTTGAATTTTCGAAGGTCCAGGTTCCAAACATATAGGGATTAGAAAATCAGAGTTTGTAGCAAGCACTCAGTTCCTTTGTTTCTGGGTAGATTTATTTATTTAATTTGAATAAATTATTATTAGGTTCTGATTTGTCGCATAACAGGAGAATGGAGTAAAGAAATCCCAGTTTGTCTTTCACCAGGTTGCCAGGTATACTCTTAAATAAATAAATTATAATTTACTGTGATAAATTTAAACTTTAAAATAAATTCTGTTAATATCTTCATTGTTTTTGAAGCAAGAAAGCACAGATCACTTTAGACGAGATACCACAAATAAAAATAAACAGTTTTCAAAAACAAAAACTTGTATATCTAATTCATGTCACTCTAGCAATGGAGAGTCACTTGTTTATATAGTCCCTTTACTAATTTTGATTGGGGGGAAAACTATTTTTTTTTATAATTTCTTTCCATTCATTCAACCTAATTTGGGCAGACAAGGGTGTTCCAGCCTTCATAGAAAATAACGTAGCTGCCGATATCCCGCAGAGTATAGAAATAATATTAATCAAAGCTCACCAATCAAATCAGATTCAAAAATTATGCAAGGTCATTTTTTTCTGATAGATACAAGATTTGTGAATAGACAAGGAGGGGTGTGGAGGGGGAGGGGGGATCTTAAGAAAATAGAAAAAAGAAGATTTGGATGGCTAAAAAGGAATTGAGTTTTTGCCTCAAACTTTAATTTTCTAATCTCTATATTTATGAAACCTAATGGTGTAAACGTTTGATATCTACTACAGCAGATTGCAAAGATATTGGGAGTTTGTGTCCAAGACTCTACTCCTTTAGGGTAACCCGTATCCCCTTTCTGATGATTTCTGTATTTGTCAACTATTTTCAGATTCCAGTGTCTCCCCTTCATGGTTGGCTGGATCTTGACTATGAAGATACTTTAGCAATATTCTACTGTGATACTGGATATCAATTACAAGTTAGTAATATTAGCAATATTCTACTATACTGGATATTAATTACAAAATAGTATTGTTTAACAATATTCTACTGTACTGGATATTAATTACAAGTTAGTATTATTTAACAATATTCTACTATACTGGATATTAATTACAAGTTAGTATTATTTAACAATATTCTACTAGACTGGATATTAATTACAAGTTAGTATCATGTTTAACAATATTCTACTATACTGGATATTAACTACAAGTTAGTTTTATTTAACAATATTCTACTAGACAAGATATTAATTACATGTAATTATCATTTAACAATATTCTACTAGAGTTAGTATTGTTTCCAAATTCAATGCATAATTGATCACAAAAAAAGTAACATTGGAAATTTTTTTTCTTGTCAAATACTACTTTTTTTTACCTATAAGTGAATTTTATCAATGATTTTTAACTATTTTCACTATCGCGCAATGAACTATATTGTACAATTCAATCAGTCTCTCCATAGTAATTAGCCTTTTATTAGAACCAAATAAAATGATTATGATAATTTAATTTAATCTATCAGACCCAAATGTATCTTTATCTATAGGGATCCCAATATCTGGGATGTGAGAATGGAGAAACATGGAACTCAAGTGTACCAATCTGCCACAAAATTATAAAACCGACAACACCAAAACCTGGTGGACGCCATCTTGTACACAGTTCCGTATCTAAAACCGGTTCTGCTGCCACGTGCACACTCATCATAGTACTTGGGGCGGCATTCTTCCTTAGGAAACAATTAATCAAATAATTTTTAAAAGCTATAAAATCTTTTTCATCATTATAATTGTATTTTGTTACTTTAAAATATGTTCATTCAATTAAATCTGAGACATGTATTCCCTAATGGTCTCAACATATTCCCCATAATGTTGGATTTGGTAAATTATTAAAGAACAACTAGCTGCAGCTTAAATCGATATTTTCATTAGTATCCAACCAAGCTGAAAACTAAATAACAACAATTTCTAGAAATATGAAAAGTTTGAAATTACAGGTTAAATATAATCCATAATTTAACAAGATTGCCTGGTACATATAATTGTTTAAAAGGAAAAAGGTCGGGGGGCAATAATATTAAATAACAATTATAAAAAAATGCATTTTAATTTTAAAATCCTTAATTTATATTCTGAAACGTATTCCTTAAATTGTTTTGTCCCACCCTGTGAAAAATAATTTAGGTAAATACTTAAAATATTTTTTAATCAGCACGGAATTTAAGGTATGTATGTTCTCCCTAGTGCACTATTCAAGGTGCAAAAACATTTCTTTTTATAAATCGCGGAGGGAAGGGCAAGGGGGATCACAAATTGTTATGCAAATAAGCCAATTTCAGAGTTCAGGGGTGTTTACAGGGGTCTACAATCCTGTATACGACCCTCTCAAAGAGCAATATATGTTAATTGGTAATTTTACCTTTTTTAGCAATAAAACCCCACCCCCTCTCTTGACTAAATGGCCCCGTCCTGAAAGCATGTTTGATCTTTTTATAAAAAGATGACTAGATTTCTAGCATGGGAACAAGCGGGGGATGAAAAATAGTTAATAACGAAAATAAATAGAAGTTTTACATTTCTGTATCATTTTTTTTACAAAAACCTTACATTTTATATTTGGTTTGCAAAACCAAAGTAGAGACCATTGTTTGCAAAATTAAAATTCCCGCTGTGCACAATGCACGAATACAACCCGCAATGCACAATTTGCAAAACTTCTAGAGTTTTCCGTTTTGATAAATGTTCTGTCTTAGGGGGTTTGACGTCAGAAATGTAGAAAGTTTTCTGTCTCAAATATGTTGGGAAACATAAAAATCGTATTTTATTTTAATTTTTGTTAGCGATAAAAAATTTCTCCATATTTGGTTTGAAAAATATGAAGGGTTTACAAAACTTCCTTAGATTTCAATTTTTTATCTTCCTGTTTTCAAATGTATCTTTCGTCTCCTAATTGAACACGCTGAGGAATGCAAATGAGAAAGCCTAAAGATTATTTTTTTTTCGCGGTCATTCGGGAACATTCAGCGGTCCCACGTCATTCGACGGATCTCGCAATTCTTCAAATAGGGATTGATTTTGGTAGCTATGCAAAAAGTTTAAAAGACATAATCAATTTTGAAATTATTACAAAAGGCTGGTACAAAATTTGCATGCAACAACAGGGTTATTTTTGTAATCTGTGTAAATTTGGGCGTTAAAGCCAGAAAAATATATTGGACATATTTTCAGTTGTTTGCCTTTTCGTAGTACAACTAGTTTGCACATATACTCACACCTACTTTACTGTCATTTTATGCACCTTTTCCCTTTCATTCTAATCTTTACCACCTTCCCCCCTTCCCATTCTGCATTCCCCCTCTTCTTCTTTCTTTGTCCCGCACCCTCCCCTTCCTTTTGTTATCCCCCCTCCTCTTTCCCTTCTCCTTTCTGTACCCCCCCTTCCCCTCCTTTAGCCACTCCTAGAACTTTTGCTTACCAATTTTAAACGCCAAAATAATTAATTGTTGCAATATTTGTCTGTTGACGCACATTGTTAAATACACTCAATTCTTGCAAGATATTCCTGAATACAGGGGGGACCATTTTACATTTTTTATTTGAGTTATTTTTATTTTTACACTTATAATGGAAAAATCTTTTTATAAAAATGTATTGAGTTTATTCTTGGACCACCTTCATTTTGCCTCTGTAAAAAGAGAATGGATGAAAGGAGTGGAACATTGATAAAAAGCGATGAAAAATTGAGGTTAGCAGTGTGTCTATAGATGAAGATGGAGGTTAGCAGGGTGTCTCTAGAAAAAGATTGAGGTTAGCACGGTGTCTATGAATAAAGATGGAGGTTAGCAGGTGTTCATTAACAAAGATGGAGGTTAATAGGGTGTCTCTAGAAAAAGATTGAGGTTAGCAGGGTGTTTATTAATAAAGATGGAGGTTAGCAGGGTGTTTATTAATAAAGATGGAGGTTAATAGGGTGTCTCTAGAAAAAGATTGAGGTTAGCAGGGTGCCTTAAGATGAGTAAAAGAAAGTTTTTTTTGAAAATGTTTCATATTATATGTTTACTTTTCTTCCGATGAAAGAAAAAAGATTTAGATTTTTGTCTGTTTTTCCAAATAAACTTAAACAGCTACGGGTTGGGCAGGGTGTCAACTTTTTATATTGAAAGTTTAGTAAATCTCATGGATTAAGATTTATATTTGCTACTTTGACAATGCCATTGACTATTCTTTACAGAAACTGTCCTCGTAATTTTAAGAAAACGTCGTTTTTCTGACAGAAAAACATGGATATCAAATTCATAATTGATCTGACAAAGCTTTTCAGAGTACATTTGTGAATCGGTGATGACACTACAGCAATGAAGGGTCCCTTTGAATGGTTCAAAATGATAATTTTCTTCCAACTTTTCCCTTGATTTCTTAAGGAGCAGCTTGGGGGTGTTTTGTAGGAGAGGTGGATCTAGATGTGTCTTTGTTAGGACAATAAATCTGTATTATTTTAAAATTTTAAATTTTCTTTCTCCATTTGCTCCTGTTTTTGACCTATAAATCCCCCTTTAGTATATTCTTATAGAGACGTTTCCCCCCTATGCGCCTTTGCTTCCACGCTGAACATTTTCAGCCAAATTATTTTGTGCCAACCTGTAAAAAGCAGAAAATAAATCTTTTGTAAAAAGCTGTTGAGTAACAGGGGATATATATATTCAGCTCAAACTGATCTATTTTGAAAGCAAAACAAAAAGTACAACAAAATATAATCTTTCTTCTGTAAAATATGCATTTTCTCTAAGCATTTTGTATACTTTTGACCAGAATTTAAATTTAGTAAAGCAACTATTATTCATATCTCTTACAGATTTTTGAAAAGATATATTATTTGGTAATTAAAACATTTTAAATACTAAATTATTGGCTCCTAATTTATAAATATTCTTTTTTATAATTACTAGGCTGAGCGGCCATCTTCTATTTTAACTTTTAATTGTGGCTTTATCTGCGAGCATCTTCTCTTTGTACAGTAAAAAACAAAACCAAATATTTCGGTGGATTTCATAATATTTTTTTGAGCATTTTCAAAATTTTACAAAAATAAAAAACTTTTAAACACAAATTTTTAAAATTTTAATCATTCATAAACCTCCCCTGGTGTCACGTGAGGTCCCACACAAAATTTGGGCCTGCTCGGTTCAGCCGTTTTGACGTTTATTGGATTCAAACAAGCAGATAAACATACACCCAGTCAATCTAAATTTATATATAGATTAATAACTGGATATAAACTTTTTTACCCCTCCCTTTGTAGAAAATAATCATCCATTCTCACTCTTCCATCTCCCTATATTCATCCTAAAAAACTTCCTTTTCCCGTTTTTAGATGAAAAAAACTGTTTTATTTAAAAATATTGGATTAAATGTTAATTTTCAGATGAACGAAGACAGAAGAAATGTATGTATCCCTTCAATATGGCTGTGATAGTTTAAACAAATAATAATCATTAAAGTTATTAATTACTATTTATTTAGACATTTATCAATGATTGACATTTTATCATTTGTCAAAAATGAACATTTTGTTTTATGAATAATGATTGTTTTGGAAAGTATTACATTTTTATTTTGGCCAATAGTTTATGTTAAAATCTTTTATAAAAACTTCCAAAAGTTTACTGCAGTCATCAAACTTTGTGATATTTAAATCCAAAAAAAAGATGTTCAACCCCAAACAAAAACGATCTTTATAACACTTTTGTATTTCGATAGTTTTTCGATTTGTTCGTTTTTTCCCCTAAATTTTATGTCAGGGTAAAAAGTATAAGAAAATCAATGTTTTAAAATAAACAATTTCAAATAAATTTGTTTTGCTAATACTATGCCAAATATTGACCCTGAAAGGAATATGTGCAGAAAATGTTTGCAAAAACAGGTTAAAAAAAGTCTGGCGTTTTCACGTTTTCAAAAAAGATAATTTAAGATGAATTATAAATGTGAATCTATTTTTAGCAAAAGTATATTGTTAATAGAACTCCTGTAAGTTGACGTAGAATAGAAAATAAAAAAAATAATGATGATTCAAACATTTTTTATTGGTTTTTGTTTTTGTCGCCTTCACGTTTTGCTGAACTTAGAATAAAGACGACAACAATTTGAAAACAGGAAGGAAGAACATTTTTAAAATATCAGGTGAAGGTTAAAAGTATCAATAAAACCTTAAATTTTGTAATTGCTATGATTACCAGAGAACTCAGGAATAGGAAGACGACTTTAAGACTCAAGTTATGACATCGAATAGTCCAAAAACATGAGACTATTGTGAAGTGTAAACAGACTTATTTCACTCTATAAGTGATGCTTCTAGTAAAACTATTGCATCGTAAGTTTTTGTAATAGCATCAAATACACTTTAGTATTTCATATTAGAAAATCTATAAAGCTGAGAACATCCCCCCCCCCCTATATTTGGTATGCTCTGGCATCATCACTTTGGACACCGTCACATTGAAAAATGTTGTTTAATGCTCTGTTTAGGGTACAAGACACACATATACGTTGGTGTTTTAAAAAAAGTATAAAATGTGTCTTGTCTTTATATTTAAGCAAAAATCTAAAATTTATTTATTTGAATAATCTTTCAAAAATTGATGTGTCACAACTCACACGTGAATTTTGTCAAAAAAAATCTTTTTATTAATTGCATTAATTTCAACGTACATATATGATTTATGTACATAGATTTGTTCAACGTAACTACGTATATGATTTATGTACATAGATTTAGACCCCCATTTTAATTTGAATAAATGTAAAATGAAAATGTTCATGACTTTTATGTATTTTGTGTTTTAGAAAGATGAGTCTGCACCACACATGTGTAATGCGTTAAAAGACGCATATCTTTCATTGCTGCTTTACAGTCAGCATACAAGGTTACTCATGAAGCATGAGACTTAAATGTCGATCTAGAAAGCTCCTTTAATATTTGTATATGTGAAGCATCATTTCTTCTCAAAAATATATTTCAAAGATATTCCATCAGCAATCCGAGAATAACGAATCCTTGTGAAATTATATAGGTTTTTTGTTAACATTGTTGTATGTCTGTTGATTTTGTTCGCTTACGTGTAAAATTAGCTGTAAATGTTGGCTGTAAAGGTTGAATCTCTCTCTCCTGCAATTCAAGGCGTTAGTTGCAAAAAAATTTTGATGGATTTATTTCAAACCTAGAAAACATAAATAATGTACTGACAATATGTTTAACATGTTCTCGAAAATGCGGGGTATATATTTATAAAATGACATTCGAATGAACTTAAGACAAAGTCTTTATAAAGACGACTTTCAGGAGGATTTAAGTGGGTTTGTCATGATTTAGTTCAACAATGTTTTAGTCAAAAACTAAAATAACTACAGGACATAAATTTGATTTAATTCTCTCTGAACAGTTCTCTGTAAATTATCATCTTTTGTGAATCACCCTGTTTTTACATTTTTATATAAATTTTGTCAAAAAGAAGTGATAACTTTTTTATATGATGGTAAAACTCGAATGTTCTCAATTTTCACGTAGATATGTACACGTATGCCGAAAGTTAAATTTTAAATAAACAAAATGATTTTTGATTTGATTTCTGAGATTGAGAGATCTAAACTTTATAAATATAAAGAAAAGTTAAATTTGTTTTTGGAGCTTATTACATTCAATTGACTTGTTTATGCAATCCCCCTTAGTTTTAACATTATAATTCAATTATAACAAAAAACTTGTGATTGTTGCCAGTAGTTTGTCAGTTTGGAGAACACTATTCTTCAAATGCTACCTTGCTTCCTAATGGTCATATGTTTACTACCAGCACTGAAAAAAGTTTAAAATACATGCTGGTGTCGTCCGACGGAAGTTGCCCTGCGGGTTTTCTCCTGCATACCCCCCTCCCCCCGGTGTTAGTATTTTTTAAAATATATTTTTATAAAAAACAGAATTAGAAAATATCAAGACCCTAACTCCCTGCTTTACATATGTAGTTATTGATAATTTGAAAGAAAGACGACATTTATGCTTTTTCTTATAATGATACATTTGCCACTGTTTGTAGGTGTCTTATCATGATTTTATTTCCTAATAATGTGTTGGAAGAAGTCAAAAATCGTAAACAATTCCCGTAGCAGTAAACATTTAGCTGTACCTTGTACAGTGCGGTCAAGTCGGACTGGTGGAGTGCTGGTATACAATGAATGTAAGACACCCAACAGTTCTTAAGATACACCCTGTCTTAAGTTTACAGATACACTTTTATTTGATGGTACCACAAAGTTTATGGTAAAAAAATGTTAGATATATCGACTGAGTTCTTTAACGGGTTCTTCTTCAGCATTGATGATCCAGGGAGGGTAGCATGAAGGGGTCAGAGGGGTTGACCCTTCCACTCCTAGGCTCCAAACTCGAGTATTTGTCTATTTTATAACTGGTGGTTGATTGGTCAATCTTTGAAATGATGATTAGATAAGAATAGAAGAAGTCGGTCTTACTGTTGAATGAATTATAAAGAGTTAGGACCGGAGACAGGATAGATTGTTTTATTCTTAAATATAGAGTTAGGACCGGAGACAGGATAGATTGTTTTATTCTGAAATATAGAGTTAGGACCGGAGACAGGATAGATTGTTTTATTCT